AATGTAATCAATATGCCTCAGTTGACTAGTAAATGTAATCAATATGCCTCAGCTGGTATTGCCTGAAATCAGAGAGATAGTAAAAACAAGACCAAATCAAAGAGTCATGACTGTGTCCTTTGGGGCAAATATGCAAAATTATTGGTGTAGTCCTTTCTTATATAATAATAAATTAATAGAGAACAGTTGCATTTATACCAAAAACTTATCAGATTTTACTATATAGGTCAAGATAACCAATCCATGGTAATCATTTACTTCTTGAGTTTTCTTATCTGCACAACCTCATAATAATTCATATCCTGACAGCCAGGAGAGGCACACCTAAATGTTAAATAAGTCACATACACTCCCATGTAAAAAAAACTCGCCCTTCATAATATTACTACTTTAGACACAGATAGCAGTTGGTCACAATTAATTACAACTTATTTCTTCTTACCTCATCAAATGGAATAAGCAGGAATAGAATGGTTATAGAAAACCATCAAAGAGATTAACCTTATGCATTTAGATCTCTGCAAAACAGGATTTTGCTTTGTGGAATAGAAGAGCAGGAAACACTGAGGATAGTTTTGACCTTATGACACTAATAAGCTCAGGCAGGCCTGCTGCTTTGGTTCTCACAACTTTGTGTAACACTGGTGTCTGATGAATGAGAACAAGCTGTTTATGGTGCGATTTAGTCAATACACAGACTTCTCATTTAAAACATGATTGGTTGCAGAATTTAAATACACTATTCACTTCAGTTTGCTTAAAGAAGTTTTTGTCTATGTGAGGATTTGTAGTGGCGACAGCTTATTGGTTGAAGATCTGTCTGCAAAGACACGTTTAATCTGGTCGATGAAACAGAGCTAATTAAAGGAACGACTGTGTATTGAGTGAGTAAGAATTACACCCAAGATAAGACATGAAACACACTCAGTGTCTGATTATATTCAGACAGCAATGACATTATCAATAGTGACAATATAGTTAGTCATGACAATGAAGCAGTGCCACTGGCCATGCTATCCTTGCTTCATGTCCAAAAAATGAAAGCAAGGAATTCAAGCAGGCTTAATGAAGACAAGTCCACACAAATCTTTAATAAACCCCTAAACATCTCCACTTTGGTCTCATCATGTCCAAAGGACATTGTTCTAGAAGTCTTGAGGTTTGTTCAGATGAAACTTTGCATAAGCCATGCTGCCATGTTTTTTTTTTAGAGAAGAGAGACAACACTTCCAAACAAGCCATACTTGTTTAGTCTTTTTATAATTGTACTGTCGTGAACTTTAAAATTTAACATGTTAACTGAGGCCTGTAGAGTCTGAGATGTAGCTCTTGGGTTTTTTGCAGTTTCTCTGAGCATTGCACGGTCTGATCTTGGGGTAAATTTGCTGGGATGTCCACTCCTGGGAAGACTGGCGACTGTCTTGAATGTTTTCCACTTGTGAATAATCTACCTTAATGTAGAATAATGCACATTGCTGTTTTTAAAACTACCTTAAAAACGTTTTTTTATTATTAATATTTGGCATTTGACGCTATGTGAGAGTTGCTTTGTTGTTTTATTATGTGCTGTTGACTGTTTGATATGGGATATGTGTGTACAGCACTTTGATGAACACTTGCTGTTTTTAAAAAAGTGCTTTATAAATAAACTTTGACTTAACTTCAAATAGTTTGGAAATGGCCATAACCCTTCCCAGATTGATGGCAGCAACAATTGCTTCTCTGAGATCAATGCTGATGTCTTTCCTCCTTGGCGTTGTGTTAACATACACACACCATAAATGTTTCATTACAGCAACCTGCCAAAACTTCTGCTTTTATAGATGTGATCACGCTTGCTGATGATCAATTAATCAAAGACATTTGATTAGCAGCACCTGACTGTTATTAGCCCTCTTTATTCCTGACCAGATTACTGTTTTCTGCCACAAGCATGTCCATGAAAGAGTAAATCTGCAAACAGCATGGTGAAGATCAAATTATTGTAGATTTTTGTGTGTAAAATTGTTTAAAAGATACAACAGGTAATGAAAGTCTGAAAAACATAAGAAACGTAATTTAAACACTCACAGATTTCAGGTCATGGTAGGTAGGTGGTAAATCAAGGAGCATCTCGATAGTTAAAGGAAAGGTAGTAGATAAAACATTCTTCATTAATGGTGAGGCAATACCAACAGTTTCTGAGAAGCCAGTGAAGAGTCTTGGGAGATGGTACGATGGGGATCTAAAGGACACAGTTGTGGGAGAAGTTAGACGACAAGCAGTGGAAGGGTTGAAGAGCATAAACAGCTGTGCTCTACCTGGCAAACTAAAACTCTGGTGCTTTCAGTTTGGTCAACTGCCGAGGTTGCTGTGGCCACTGACCATGTACGACGTTTCTTTGACAACAGTGGATAAGCTGGAAGCGTTGATAAGTTCATACATCAGGAAATGGTTGGGAGTTCCACGCTGCCTCAGCAGAGTGGGACTTTATAGTAAAGGAATATTGCAGCTGCCAGTCTCTGCTTTAACCGAGGATTTTAAGTGTGCCAAGGTCAGACTGGAAATGACCTTAGTAGAGTCACGCGACAAATGTGTAAGGGAGGCAGCCCCTGTGTTAAAAACTGGTAGAAAGTGGTCAGCAAAGAAATCTGTTGTAGAGGCAAAGTCTGCCCTTCAAATTGGGGATATCGTGGGACAGGTACAGCATGGAAGAGGGGGTTTTGGGCTCAGTTTAGCTCCTCCTAAATGGCACAAGGCAGGCCCAGCTCAAAGGAGGAAGCTGGTAGTCAACAAGGTGCGAAAGCAGGAGGAGAGGATGAGGTGTATAAAGGCCATTTCCCAGGCCAAGCAGGGAGAGTGGATGAGATGGGAGAGTGTGGAACAACGCAAGATGGGCTGGCAAGACCTTTGGTAAATGGAAGAGAGTAGGATCAGTTTCCTTATTAGGTCAACATATGATGTTCTCCCATCACCGCAGAACCTAAACCTCTGGGTAGGAGAGGATCCCTCTTGTCCTTTGTGTTCATCACCTGCCACATTAAGGCACATTTTGACAGGATGTAAGGTGGCTCTTAGCCAAGGTCGGTTTACTTGGCGCCATGACCAAGTACTGCGATGTTTGGCTTTAGCATTGGAAGGCAAGCGTAGTATGACCAATAAGTTGCCGCCTGTTCTAGCAAAACATTACACGCAGAAGACAATATTCCTCCGCCCAGGCGAGCAACCACCAAGAAAAGGTGTTAACACCAATTCTCGCCCAGGACAACTGGAAGCTGCTAGGGACTGGAAGATGCTGGCTGATCTTGATCAACGACTTATTTTTCCACCTGAGATTGCCACCACTAACCTCCGACCAGGTTTTGTTTTGTGGTCTGGATCAGCACGCATTGTTCAACTGATAGAGTTAACAGTGCCATGGGAGGATGCGGTAGATGAGGCATATGAGAGGAAGAAACTGCGGTATGCTCATCTGGCCACTGAAGCAGAACAGCGAGGATGGAGAGTCCAGGTTTATCCAGTGGAAGTGGGTTGTCGAGGTTTTGTGGCACACTCTACAACCCGGTTCCTCAGAGACGTCGGATTCAGCGGCCAAGAGTTGCGTCGCACAGTAAAGAACTTATCTGAAGCAGCAGAAAGGAGCAGCAACTGGCTGTGGTTGAGACGGAAAGATTCTAGCTGGCTGAGTACAGGCCGCCACGCTGCGGTTTCGTAGAATTCTTGAAAACTTGAAGAGTCTGTTGGTTTATTTATACGTTCCTGTGGATATTGCGTGAATGACGGGTGGTTGGGCAGATCTTGTGTTTTGCGGTAGGTGGTATGCCATACGGAACCGTTGCCACTGAAACTGCATATTAACGCACCAGTGGGGCTCGACAGCCTTAGTCAAACGGGTTGGCGCGTATGGATGGGTTGCGGAGAGATTGTGAGATTGTGGTTAGGTCTCAGCAGCAGGATGGATGTAGAGGTCAGTAAGCTGGGTTGAGTTGAGTGGGGGACGGAGGGGGGTGACTCTGGGACGCCAGAGTCACTGTCGAGCCCTCTTGAGGTGTCGTGGGCTAGTCGACGAAACACTGAGGACGGAAGGTGCCCACTTGAAGACCCTAGAGATGTCCCCTACTCGGCTCAATCCAGACGGTTGTCGTGCTGGTCCTGTAGTTGCAGCCGTCGCGTGTGCTGACGCGCCAAGTACACTGCAGCCGTTAACGCCGGACAGAAGGGGAGTCACACCACCATATGGAAAGAAGCGTAAATGGATGGAGAAGCATATTTACTGTAAAGCTACGTCTTAGTTTTGCTTATCTTGGCGAAAACCGAGTACAAATCAGCATGAAGTTTTAACATCTACTCTCGTGTAATGGAAGCAGTAAGGGTGTTAATTTGTCAACCATGGCTTTTCCATTTTGGCCTATCTTTTAAAAAAATAATAATAATACTAAAGGGTGCAATATGTAATGTGTTGTTGTTCATCTGAGATTGTATTTACCTAATTTTAAGACCTGCTAAGGACCAGATGATTTTTTATTATGTCACACATAAAACCAAATAATTCAATGAGGTGTCCTTTCTTTTTCACTTGACTGTACATATTTACATCATACATATCAGCTTAAATATTTCTTATTTGTTTTACATCATCATAAAGTTTTTTCGTTATCTATCTATCTATCTATCATCTATCTATCTATCTATCTATCTATCTATCTATCTATCTATCTATATGATTTGATATATTATACAAAAGACAAAAATATTTTATTTTAAACAATTACATTTTATTTATAATCATTTCAAATTAATATCTAAAATAAATAATTGCATAAATATAATTTAAAAATGAAGCAATGCAATCCACGTAACGTCACACACACAGCATAACAGTGAAATACAGTAGACTATTTTACTATTCATATAGCGATCTATGCGCGATTATTTCGATTTGTAACTTTTACATGTCATGCTTGGCTCTTATTGGTAGTTCTCATGGACATCTCTGCTTCTATTGGTTGAACAGCACACATTGACAATGAGCGGAAGTCTCTCAGAGAGGGGCAGAGGTATACTGTCCCGTTCAACAAAAGTGATCCTTCAGGGAAAGTTGCCGGTGGGAATAGTCAACGCTGTTTATCAAATCTAAACAAGCTCGACAAGAATGGAGATCGAGAAAGAAGTTAAAAAGGTACGCTTATTAAACTGGTCATGGTTCAAAGGGTTATTTGCTGAAACATTCGGCAACGCCCTTAAAGGTAAAGCCACTGCCATTGTTATACATGGCGAAACATTTGTTATAACGACTGTTGGTTACGAGCAAATGGTTAAAAAGCTTGGTTACATTTATTAAGAAACGGGAAGTGGTCATTAATAGGAAGTAAAACATAGGAGGAGGATCCTGGTCCCTCTTTATTTGATAGTAAAAAATGAATTTGAGTTGATGGAGCCAATATATTTAAATGTTTCCATATTGTAAACAAACTGGAAGATGTTATGATTATTATATATCATTCTGCAGATACATTCACTTTTCTTATAGAGGTGTTACTGCAGAAACGTTCTTTGCACATTGCAGTTATTCAACCACAAGCCAAGTTGCAATATGTTGTGACATGCATGTAGGTACAGTAAAGAAAGAAGTGGGGTTTTGCAAGATGAGGATGTAAAGATGTGAAGTTCCACTTCTTGACAGTTTAAAGTTATAGTTCAACCCAAAATTATAATACTACTGTTACTACACCCACATGTCTTTCTTTCTTTCTTTCTTTCTTTCTTTCTTTCTTTCTTTCTTTCTTTCTTTCTTTCTTTCTTTCGTGAAACACAAAAGATACTAAATTCAACATAAACATAGTTAATATGCATTGTGCACTTTGTGTGATGAACAGACTGAAATTGAATCTAAATGATTTGTTCAAATCAGACTGGTCTAGTTCTTGAGTTCAACTTGCTGATTCAATGATCCAGTCAACACAGTTAACTGGATATATAATAAAAAAAACAATTATTATAAAGAAGACTTAAATTATACAAGTATTAAGGACTACTTTAATTATACTTTTATGGCACCTTTGCATGTATTTTGCTTGAAAGTTCATTTTGATCACATGGAAAAGTGTCCGACTCCAACAGTCTTCAGAGAATTGTAATGTTTGCGTGAAACGGACAGTTTCTCATGTATATAACATTTCCACATTTTTATAGTTGCACCACTAGTGTACTAAGAGTTCAAGAGTCTATCAAAGAAACGATTAAAAAACATTTACATTTGTAATTTTTAAAGCATCTTTAAGATGCAATATTTTTCGCCTGTTAAATCTTTACGAGAACTACAAAATTGCCATGTTTTTAAAAGCAATAATTGAGCCTTGCACTAGTGTTGGTACAGTATAAATAACAGTAGTTACAGGTTTATGCCACCGTGGGCCTCCCAAGTTTTGCCGTTCAACAGTAACTCCTCAGATCTGGAGGGATCTCTCCGTATTTTAGGCAGAAAAAAAATCCCTCCAGGCATTCTCCATCTTGATAAATACTAGACCTTATAAGGCGGTCTTCCAGCTCGGGAGGTTTACTGTTGAGAAATGCTGAGACAGGAATGAACTTTATAATCTAAATATTAGAATATCTAGTGAAGTAGACTGGTGTCAGATTATTTTCTTTCCTTTAATTATGTAAATTATGTCCTGCTTCATACTGAAGTGTTTTTGTAAAGTCTTTTATTTTGTCCTAAATAGTAAGACCTGTAATATGTTACATGTTGGTCTTTTCTCTTTTATAAATAATTGGAAACACAAATGCTTTATTTTTATGAACTTGGGGGTGGGACTATGTTAGAGAAGAAAGAAATAATCCTGAATAATAATAATAATTTGGTCCCAAAATTTTGCTAACCCGAGTGACATCTTAATATTATGCTAAATTTGCGAACCTTTTACCTGTTTTGGCATGGTTTATTTATTTAGGCCTTTTTATTATTGTTGGAAAACTGCATTAGGCCTATATATACAGTAAAAATACACTAATATTGTTAAATATTATTACAATTTGATATAGGTTAACTCTTTTTTTCAGCAGTCATTACTCCAGTCTTCAGTGTCACATGATCCTTCAGAAATGATTATAATATGCTGATTTGCTGGTCAAGAAACATTTCTTATTATTATCAATGTTGAATATTTCCTTCAGGATTCTTTGATGTATAGAAAGTTCAAAAGGACAGCATTTATTTGAAATGAAAATCTTTTGTAACATAAATATCTTTACGATCACTTTAATGCGTCCTTGCTGAATAAAATGATTAATTTCTTAAAATGATTCATTTAATATCTCCTGAGGTTGATAATTAACATTTTCTGATGGTTCCACACATCCTTTCACTGGTAATTTGTTTTAAAAAAAAACGTAATAAGAGTTTCATACCAAATTTGTGAAAAGTGCCATATGGTTATTTAAAATACCATAAACTATGCAAATACTTTTTAAACTTCAGATGGTTTGATCAACACATGTGTTTGATACGGGTTGATTTATCCAATGTGTCTTTATGCATTGTTTTGGCAGATAACCCTGGGCCATGAGATAGGAGCCGGAGCTGCCTGTCTGAAATGCAAGGACAAGTGTGAAGGCTTTGATCTTCACTTCTGGCGGTTTGTACTTGCTTCCTTCCTATGTATTTGTGTAGTGATGTTATTCATGCATGTGTTTTTTACTGTGAGATCTGTGTAATCATGTTTGGGCTATCATTGGTTTGACTTCTCTGTTTTTATCCATCAACATCTTGAAAAACACGGCAACATGCAGTACCATATCTATCTGACAAATATGGCCAGAAAAGTGTCATGCTGAGAGAGCTCTGGCCATTAGCTGCACTTCACCAGTTTTTCTGAAACGAGAGTCACAGGTGCCAAGATGCCCGTGCCGAAGCTCTATCGCTACAGCGGCGCTGCATGCCATTCCCGAGCGCCCTCGTGGGGCTTCAGGAATTCTTTGAATGAAAAGACGTCAACGTGGAGGTCATTGGATGCAGAGCCAGAGACTTCATCTTTGTGTTTGTTTCTATGCAGTAGAGATGGGAGACTAGCCATCCAGTGGCTGAACAGAATTAGTGACATCTGAGTGGGAGTAAAGTGACTCAGACAGGCGTAGGCCCACTTCCTGTTCCTCGTCTTTAACTCAGTCTTTTGTTTGTTAAACGCTTTGGGTAAAAACATCTGTGCTTTGATGCTTTGGATCACTGACATGCTGAAACATTTCTTTTGGGTGAAGATAAAGCCTCTTTGGATTTCTGGCTACGATTTATGTTGTAACATTTCCAAAGACCATCATTCTTTCTGCTTGGCTCTTTTTGATATGTTAAACACAGCTCCAAGTGTCCTTAAAAGGGGCCATGTTCTACTTTTGTAGTATTTTATTTTATTCCCTTATAATGTCAGGGTTTCTTGCACCAAAAAGTCATAATTTAGTTTTCCTGATTACCCTCTCGCTGACCCTGCGTTCACAATAGCTAGGTTCCCATACAAAGTTGTGAATGTAACTTATGCGCATAATTGGAACATTGCATAAAAGATTTGCAAAATAAAGCACCGTTTCCATCCCGTGTGTTCAAGAGAACAAAATCATCACTTCCTGGGAAACTGGCGCAAAGAATCAATAATAATAATTAAAAAAAAATAGAAGTTGCTGCAATTGGGGAAGCCTGTGGCTTTTTTACCTACATAGTAAATTGCTTGAGAAAACGCAACAACAAATGCTGTCATGTTATCGTCTGTTCGGATGGTGGTGTTTGGGAGCGCAAACATGATTATCCTTCAATAATATCCTTATTGGATAAAAAATGGATCCGCCTCAATTGAGCACATACATTTTTATGCACATCTTGGTGTTTCCATCCAGCATTTTTTTATGCAATATGCTGAAATTCACATAAAAAAATGGTGGATGGAAAACATAGCTAATTACAGTGGTTCGAAGCAACAAAGTAACCAGAATGCATTCATTTTCCATTCAAATTGTCAACAAAGAGTTTTTCATGACATGTCCCATATAAACCTTAAGTCAACTTGCAGATAAACAATGCACTTTATCCTGCTCTACAGAAACCAAAGTCTTTTCTCAAACTGTTCACAGGTGTCATTGAATGCAACAAAATGTGGTTTATTTATTTTATGTTGCGGTTAAAAATCATGACGAAAGGGTTTCAGCATGTAACCCGCGTTGTTCTTTTTCCAAGTAATCACTGAATACTCTGTGCATGTCGTAACTCGACGTGCACAGCAATCCAAACTAGTGTTATCAGACTCTTAACTTAACAAAACAGACGTAACTCAGAGAGACAGCTCGTCCTACAGTAATAATATGCTACTCTCATTCTCTATCAATCATTGTTTTGTTATTTCCCAGTATGCTGCTGTTTGCTTACAGTTCAAAAGTTTGGGCTCAGTCTCTTGTGCTTATGTTTTCTATTCTTAAAATATTTATTCCTGTGACTGTGAAGCTGTATTTTTAGCATCATTACTCCAGTGTTCAGTGTCACATGATCCTTCATAAATCATTCTATTATGCTGATTTGCTGCTCAAGAAACATTCATTTTGAAAAAAGTTGTGCTGCTTTATATTTGTGGAAACCTTGATAGTCCCATCAGGATTCTTCAATAAATAAAGAGGGTTCTAAAGATCAGCGTTTATTTGCAATATACATTTTTTGTAAAATTATAAATGTCTTTTACTGTCACATTTAATGCATCTTTGAATAAAAGTATTAATTTATTTCCAAAAAAATCTAACTGACCGCAAACCTTTAAATTGTAGTGCATGCTTTAAGTGTTTCCACAAGTGTTCACCCCAAAATAAAAATTCCGTCATTCTCTTTATCAGAAAGATTTGCCGAAACTGCAAGTGCGGCGTTGAGGACCATGACGTGCAGCTCGAGACGGAGGAGAATAAGAAGGTGGGAAGGCTTTTTGAGGACACCAAGTACACAGGCCTCATAGCCAAGCTGAAGAGAGATGGCATCCCGTCTTATAAAGGCAACCAAGTCACATTCAGCATCCCGGCAGCCTCCATCAGCACTGCTACTCCTGTTCCTGCTTCCTCTTTTGTCCCCGGCTCCAGCCAGACCTACACCCCCAACGCTCAGTCCGCTCATGCCCCACCTGTTGCTGCCACTGCGGTCCCAGGAGCGTCAATTCACTCCCCTGCAGCCCCAGCAACAGGCCGTACTGCGGCCTCAGGAACAGGCCATGGTGCTGCTTTAGGGACAGGCCATAGTGATGCATCAGGAACAGGCCGTACTGCTGCCTCAGGAACAGGCCATAGTGATGCATCAGGAACAGGCCGTACTGCTGCATCTGGAACAGGCCGTACTGCTGCTTTAGGGACAAGCCATAGTGCTTCCATCCCATCTAAAGGCCCTGGTGCTGCCACTACTGCTGTCCCAACCCCCACTGCAGTGCCTGCCAAGACAGATGTGGTTAAGTCCGTTACCTATGAATGGGCTCCACCTGGGATCAACCAAGGCTTGGTAACTCTCTTAATCTTAAAATCATATACTATAATTTACTATACATTACATTATATTTCAATTAATTTTATATATAATATTATATATAGTTTATTTATTCAAACTTGTGCTTGAGGGTTAGTTTGTAATCGTACTATGATACTTGGCTCCACTAGAGGTCACTGTTCTCTTCTTCTTTTTTAGACTGCCCTCTTGAAAGTTTGTAAAACGTTTGTGCTCTCCCAATATTTTGATCGTCTTAAAATATAAAATGCTGAATACTAGAAATATCATTTGCATTTGTAATTTAGCTGATACTTAAAAATGAGGAAAAAACAGAAGTTTAAAATATTAGCAGTTATGTTACTTTTTTTTTCAATAAAAACATTACTCTTCAGAAAAGAATATACAAATGCATGTTCTTTTAGTTTTGATTAAAAACATTCTTTGAGTAATGAAAAGTTACACCTTTCATTAATAAAAATCAAGCTGACCTTTTTGTCTGTAGGCCTACATTGTTCTGTTATTTTCTGTAAACTTTCTGTTGCAAAATTATACATAAAACTTCAATTATTATGAAATTAAACATTTATATTTATTTAATATTATTTTTATTATTAATATAATTAAATTATTCCAATATATATATATATATATATATATTAAATATGAAAGGAATGGTTCACCAAGAATGAAAGTCCTGCCACTCCTTTGTCATTTATTTTTGAATACCCTGTTTCAATACAAAATACATCACATTACAGAAGTCAAATAAGAGTGGCAAATCCCATTTCATTTCATTTCACTTTTGTCCTCTCAGGCTCTGCTCTACATGGAACTTCTGCCTCCGGAGCGGCGACCCATCGCTGGTTCGGCGGGAGCAGATTACCGTAAGAAGCAGATGGCCAAGCAGCTTCCCGACCACGACCAAGACCCTGAGCGCTGCCACGAACTCTCACCCAACGAGGTCAAGCAAATGCAGCAGTATGTCCGAAAGTACAAGGATGAGGCTTTGGGCATAGGCGACATCACCTTGCCCGAAGAGATGGGGCTGCAGGCAGGTTTGGCCGGGGAGAGCGGCCCTCAAGGTGTCGGGGCTGGAGGGAAGCCTGGTGCTGGAACAACAGGGACACCAGGAGACAAAGGTGATGCTGTTGCTACAATGGGAAAAGTTGGCACCCCAGGGGCTGATGGAACTTCACTCAGTGGACCTGCTGGTAACTACGTAAGTATTAACGGTAGTAATGGACAACTATTGTGAATGTTGCTTGTCATGAAGACTTTTCTCTATTACATACAAATAGCGTCTGTAACCTTTTTATTCTCATTACCCCTTTATATCTAAATGAATCTCAATCTAGATTATTTCCAGTTGAATGTCAACATCTATTAATGAAAAATCGCCTTTGGAGTATTTATTTCCACCACATGTGCGCCACAGGAGTCAAATCATTCTCCAGTGCTTATCTCCAGATTCACTTGATTAATATAAGAGCAGTTCATATACTGCCAAGCCTGTGTTAGTCAGGCAGCTGGAATGAACGTTTTGTTCTTCCAGAGATCTTCATAAATTACCACACTTAGTCCCTGTGGTTATGTTCAAGCTCAGGTGGATTTTTCCTAAATCTATTGTAAGCATCTGAAATCTCATGATGGAAACACATGTATGCCATCAGCCTAATGTTCTTGCCCTTTTTAAAGGGATAGTTCACCTAAAATGAACATTGTGTGTGTCTTTATTTACTCAACCTAATGTTGTTCCAAACCTCTATGCTGTTATTGTTGCCCTGGAACGCATAAGAATTAAAACAATCTTCAGCAGCTCTTTTGCATAGAACAACAGTTCATAGTGATCCCATTTCTCAAGCTCCGAAAAGCACCATTCATGTGATCCATACAATTCCTTCACTATATTTCAAGTCTTCTGAAGTCAAACAATAACTTTCTGATGGACAAACTGAAATGTTATTCACGGAAAATCTTGCCCTCTGCTGCAGCTTTCCCAAAGCAGGTTATTGTATAATAAAGTTTAAAATTATAAATATAAAACAGATATAAAGTTATAATTATGAGAAATAAAGTTCTTTTGTGAGATATGAAGTCATAATTATACAAAATAAATGTGCATTGTAAGATATAAAGTCATAAATATGAGAAATAGTCCTAATTATGTAAAATAATCACTTTGTGAGTGATTTTGAAATATATAAACTCATAAATACAAGAAGTCGTAAGTGAAATAAAGTTATAAATATGAGAAATAGTTATTGCATGCGATAATTACATTGTGATAGTCATAAATATGATAAATTGATTTGAAATCTGAAAAAGTAGAATTATGAGATATATAGTCATAAATACGAGAAGTAAAGTTATGATTATGAGATTAAGTCATATTGTGAGAAATAAAGTTAAGTATATATAATAATTACAACTTTGTTTCTCATAAAGTCATAAATACAAGATGTAAATTCATAATAATGCGAAATAGTTATATTATGATATAAAGATCAATACAAATTCATATTGTGAGATTGAAGGCATAATTATTAGATATAAAGTTGTATTTTTTGCGAGATATAAAGTAATTATGAGAAATAGTCACATTTTGTCATATAAAATAATGTAAATCTTGGGTCTATTCCTTTAGACTTAGTAGTTTTTCCTATTTCCAATATTCATGTTTCACCTGGGGTGATGAATTTTTTAAGTGAACCGTGTCTGGTCTTCATTAATACCAACCTCCCTCCACTGTGTTTCCCCCCCTTTCATTCTTCATTGATGTTTATGCCAAGCTGAACTCATCACCGAATCTCTGCCCACAGTCATGTCACCGGTGCCAGCTGCCCATGAAGAAGGGTGAGCCGGCGGTTTACGCCGAGCGGGCAGGCTATGATAAACTCTGGCACCCTGCATGCTTTGTGTGCTGTAACTGCAGCGAGCTACTGGTGGACATGATCTATTTTTGGAAGAAGGATAAGCTGTACTGTGGCCGCCATTATGGAGATAGCGAAAAGCCTCGGTGTGCAGGTTGCGATGAGGTGAGTGGAGGCAAAGTAATTCACATGGTCAATGTCACAAATTTGCTTACATTTGTTTAGCAACCTGGAAATAGTTCAGAATCTTCAATAACTTAATAATGGCTATGTTTTAAATGTTTAGAAACCTTAACTTTGATCATTTCCAGGTCAAACAAAAGGTCAATGGGCTAATGGCGCAGTAGTTGGCTCCATGTACATTGTCCTATATGCCAAGTTCAAGGGTCCATAAAGAAAGATTGGTACAGTCAAAAAGGCTAGAAATTTGGATTTTGTTAGTGCAGTAAGTCTACTATAACAGCGTTTTGTCTACTTTAATGCATCCTCTGTAACAGCTGAGAAATAGCGCTGCAAAATGGGCAGATGGTGCAATAGGCGGCTCAGTGTGCACTGTCTTAGATGACAAGTTCAATGGTTCATTATAAAGATTGGTACAGTAAAGTGCTAAAAATTTGGCTTACCTCTAGTAAAAAGTCCTTCTGTCCACTTTACCGTATACTCTGTGGCACCTTAGAAACCGCACCGCAAATTGGGCTGATTGTGCAATACGTGGCTCGGTGTGCATTGTCCTATATTCTAATTTCAATGGTTCATAAAAAAAGATTGGTACAGTAAAAAGTGCTGACGATATTTAATGTCATCTCAGATGTTTAGACCCCACCATATGTTTCGTTTTAAAATCTGACCAAGTGAACAATTGAATGCAATTTTGTTGAATGTTCTTAAACTGTTTAACACACAATTGTTTGTGTGTGTGTGTGTGTGTGTGTGTGTGTGGTCTCCAGCTCATCTTCAGTAATGAGTACACTCAGGCCGAGGGCCACGATTGGCACCTGAAGCACTTCTGCTGTTTTCACTGTGACTGTGTGCTGGCTGGAGAGACCTACGTCATGGAGAAAGACAAGCCTGTTTGCAAACCCTGCTACATGAAGAACCACGCTGTGGTAAAGAGAAGAAATTCCTTACTTTCTCTCTCCCTCACTGTTTCTCTGCTCTATGTGATTTTGAGTATCTTTCTTTCAATTGGATTTCTTTTTATCTTCCTCAGAATAGAATGTAGATAGATAGATAGATAGATAGATAGATAGATAGATAGATAGATAGATAGATAGATAGATAGATAGATAGATAGATAGATAGATAGATAGATAGATAGATAGATAGATAGATAGATAGATAGATAGATAGATAGATAGATAGATAGAACAATCATTGAAACATTTAGCTTTACAACCGTTCTTCAAGTATCATTCATGTCATGCCTAAATGGAAGTGAATTCCTGCTAAGCCTGGGCTATTAAAACTAACAGGCTCGGCATGTGTTTGCCAGCCATATTGGTTCAGGAGCAGGTGAAGGAGATTAAGGAAGTGCCAGTGACATGATAACCAGAGGAAAGGGAGGGTGGATGCGCTTATAATGGAGTTGTGTGATATCGGACACCACCGTTCTCTTTCAACGCCTGCATGTCCAATGACACACAGCTCTTATGACTCATCTGTTAGACATCAGCTTAGAAAGGAAACTTCAGACATTCAAAAAAGCAGAGTTTTTATATTTTATCATTTGTATATTATATTAAAATAATATGTATAATAATTATTTACACATATGTAAAATTATTATTTTTAATAATATAATTATATATTATATTGATATAATAATGTTAATAATTAATTAAGCTTGGTTCCAAATAACTTTGATTACACTTATTACAGGTGCAATGTCCTGGGATGCCTTGCTGAAGGGCATATAAAATATACATAATGATTATTAATTATATTAATGGTTATATTAACTATTAAAATATGAATGAATGTTTAATGTAATTTAATCATTATAAATGTAATATTTAATATTATTTAGAATAAATATTCATATGCTCAAAAATGAAGAAATAAATCATACTAATAATAAAAAATATTCATATGCAAAATATACATATTTAATGTTTATTTAATATTTATATCCCAGAATGCACTAGCTTGATTGTGCCTGTAACATATGTAATCAAAGACCTTTGTCACAAGTGTTATTTCAAACAAATACATTTACTATGATATACTTCTTCTTCCTGTGAATTTTTCCATGTCCCTCTGTGTTCACAGTGTTGTGCGGCCTGTCAGAACCCCATCGAGCCTGAAGCTCAGCGCGTGTCGTATGGAGAGCACCATTGGCACGCTGAGCCCCAGTGTTTCCAGTGCTCCTGCTGCTCCAAGTGCCTTATGGGCCAGCGCTTCATGGCCCTGCAGGGAATGCTGCTCTGCTCCGTAGAGTGCAAGAAAAAGATCATGGCCTCATGAAGGAACACCTAGGAATTCTACTTTATTTGGGAAAGTGCTCAGAGCACCAGTTCTGCCTAATGTATTACTCATAATAAATATATACTCCCACTATTTTAGAAATGAATGTAGTTGTATGACCAATCTTAATTTTCATGTCATTTGAATGGTTTTTGAGAAATAATAAGCAATACGGTGGAGCAGCGGCTGATGAACCAACTTAATAAGTGTTGTCAATGTGACAGTGTCTTAATTATTATTAATTTAGTATTAATAAACAGAAGCAATAATGGCTTTTGTTCTTTGGCTACTGAATTTATCTTTCCCGTTTTTAGGTCTAAAATTGCACTTTATTTTTTCATAGCTTTCATTTATCATTCATGTAACCCAATAAATGTTTTGCAGTAATATGAATGGATTATTTCCTCATCTTTCTACTTCAACTATGTATCCAAATATCCATCGTTATTGTGACATACAAGTTCGGGATCTCGAGGGACAGGTATTACGTTCATGTTAACGTCTTGACCATTTCACACCATTGAAAATTCCAATCTAGACCGGCACTTTTGGGAAAAAGTTAGTCCTCTGTGTGTTTTCTTACACTTAGCTGTGGAAACCGGGCACAATTCAAGGAAGCCCGGTTCCATTGTCTCTAATGGCGGCGAACTTAAGACTATGCCGTCATTTCCTCCCATCGTAACTGTCCACGGTAAGGGTCTTTACTGTTTCACCTCCCCTCACCTCACGCCACACTAGGGTGGAGTTTTCCAGCAGGGAATTCTTTCCTTCAATGTCACCCCTCGTGCAGGAATTTATTTACATGGTGCTTTCCCTGCCAAACATGAAGTGCACTTACTTGCACGCTTGCCTCCTTAGCACTTGTTTTCCCCATGAGCACTAACTGTGCAAGAGATATGATCTGTTGATTTGTAGCTCCCTGAGGTGATGAAACCCAGATGCAAAGTGTTGAGCACCACTGCTGTTCAGCGAAATTATAGCACAGACCCCACACATGAAGAGTGAAGACAGGCCAGGGAGATGATCCAAATTCCTGGAGGATCCTACTGGTGACAGCAGAAATGTGAGAGACGGGATCCTGGAATTGCACTCGTTTGTCACAAAACTGTTGAGCTTGTTTTTTTTTTACAGACACTTGAGAAATAACAATAGGCCTATAGCAAAATATGGTTGTTAGGTTAGGCCTCTCTTTCTGCCTATATACTGTATATTCTGGCTAACTATGCAGTGATGTCTTTTCAGCCTTAGTTAAAAGTGTTTGTATTGCAAGACCCCCTCCTCATTGTGGTCATGTTTATCTGGCCTTTAGCTGAGAAAATATTCCTAGATTAGCACATAGAAACAAAACCGGTCCATTGTGTAGTTCAGTATTGAACAATAATCTGGTGTTAGCACATTATTAAAGTGCACATGGCCAGTGCAATCAGATGATAGTTGGGTTATAGTTCACTTTAGACATTCTATTAACTACAAGTAAATTTGCAACTACATGTCAACTAACTCAGAGTATTAGCAGACTGTTAGGTTATGGTTAGTAGAATACGTTGATGTACTTGCTAAGTTACTTATAGTCAGTAGAATGTCTGTTGGGCTTGGGGGACCACCAAAATAAAGTTTAGCAGATAGTAAGGCGACAAGTTAACTATGCTTTTTTTGACTGGTAGTTGACATGTAGTTGCAAAGTTACTTATAGTTAGTAGTAGACGTTCTAATGGGGACTATCAAAATGAAATGTTATTGATAGATGGATAGATAGACAAACAAATGTTCATTCGGACACCCGTTTCCTTTTGGTTCATTAGCTTTAGCAGCAATTGTTAAGATGATCCTGGAGAGGGCGCTCTTTCACATTCAATATATTGTTGCACAGCACCAGCCTTCACTATTTAGTTCATTGCGATGTGCAGTGCTACTGTGTCCCAACGATTGTATGTCGCTCACCATGATTTTTTTTTTTTTTTTAGTATGGTGCTGTACGACATGCTTGTTGGTCCTCGAACAACATTTTTGTTAACCAGGATTAGGGTTTGGCCTGTAGGGCTGGTTTGAGGCTTGAACAACATTCTTATCCAATAATAATTTCTCTTTTTGGGAAGTGTGTGGTTAAGGTTATAACAAGAATATTGTCAAAGAAACGTAGTCTTACTTGGCAAGTTATGCGACTTTTTGTTGTTCATTGTTAAGTAATGATCCAACGGCATGAGACTCGTCCAGATGCTCCAGGTAAATTGTGATAGGAATGTTAATAGGCTACAGAAAGAGAGAGGAGGCAGAGGCAGACTCAGAACTCAAGTTAAATGTCAGCTGTCTCTTTGACTGATAAGCCTCCCCAACAACATTCCTCCTAAAAAAAGAGAAAACGAGGGAGAGTTTGACACACAACAGTGACGAAACAGAAGGAACTAGTGTGCTGCCTGCCAGAATTGGCCTGACGCTTTTCTAGTCACCTCAGTGATGTTTACTCAGCCATAAAACCTTAAGGACACCTCTCTTCACATTTCTCTTCAACGGCTTTCCAAATTCTTTTTGAGCTGTTTTTGCATGTGTGCTGATATTAAGCAGACAAGACCAGGGTTTCCAGGTGTACTCCCCGCCTCTATCATCTGGGCATGCTCATACCAACTCTGGGCAGGCAAATAAAGCAAATCCCTGGCACAGCCCAAATGGTCTTTAAATCATATCTGCGGTTGGCTTTGGGTGCTTTCGGCGCTCTTTTGTGCTTTTGTTGATCTCGTACACTCCTCCTTTTCCTGCCTTTTTCATTGTGTCAAGTCAAATATGATATTAAGTGAACTCTCCACACCCACCTTTGGTTTATTAGACCATTGTTTGATGTACTCATTCTATCTATTTCTCTCCCAGTGTGTTTATCTCTTTTTCTCTAGGGCAAAAATGGAGAAGCCCCACCCAGATGAAGAGTAATGTAGCTCTCCCCAAACATAGTTGAGGAGGCATGTGCTATGCATACTCCACCAAGACCATTTAAGACATTAGTGAAACTTATTATTCACTGGGAGTGTTTTTCTTTGGCATCGTGGGTATTTATTTTGGGTAGCACAAAAATGTTTTAAGCACAGTGAATTAGGATGAGATAACTCTCTTTTGTACATTTTAGAGTTTTGGGACGTTTGGTTTAGCATTTCACATCAATCATTAAATATAGTAGATTAGAGAACATTAGAAAACAGTAGAAAAGTAGGCCTATGTCAAGTAATACATTAATATGCAAAACACCCAATTTTAGGACTGATGGTTCGTAATCACTGTATATTGTACAATGTACAAAACACATCTGGATACTTATGCAACAGTTCAAATATAGAGAAATGAATTGCACTATAATATCGCAGTTAGTTCCGATCCTCGAATTTGATTGGCCCAATTGATGAATGGATGGATAGACAGACAGACTGACCTATTCTTGGACGGACACATAGATATTTGCACAGATATGGTGAATGCAGGTCAAGTGGGCCATCAGGTAAAGTGAATAAGAATTAAATTATAAAAAATATGTTAGTTTTCTTGTAAGGTGTTTAAATATTGCTGGCCCACTTTGGCTGAATGATAAAGTGGGCCAGTGGGATTCAGGTAAAGTGGGCGACCTTTAACCTTCAGTAATTACACTCAAATTCATTAAATAAATTGACATACACTGGTAATATTATAGTTGACATGTTTTTTAGAAAACATAAATGAGTGTGCCGTTAGGAAATTCAAGTCAGAGATGAAAGAAAGAGCAGAAAATAAGAATAGGCATTATGTTCAATCTGTGGAGTAGAGAAAGGATGAGAGGTGCTAAATGTAGATGCAGAATATATAGACACAATTTAAGTTCATTTAAAGGGTTTAGAGAAAACAAACAGAAAAAAGGTTTTACAATATGGTTACCATTTTAAATGTTACTCTTATTGAAATTTTGTTGGCCTATTTGTTGTTGCATGTGTTGTAGTTTATCTACATCCATATTCTGATTTCTGAATATTCTGATATTCAGATTTCATCAAATTTAATGTCAACACAACATGTTTTATCAGTTGCTTTGAATTTGACACATGCATTGAGTGAACTGATGAATTTTACTAATCATATATAGCCAAAAGGCTATATACTTTTGTGTTTGTTAAATATGTTGTGTGGATATGTTTGTTTGATAATATGTGTTAATAAATCATGTGTTTTTAATTAAGATACAGGATTTTTTTTTATATAAATCAGGGATTTTTTTTTTATAAACCAGACCAGCTGGCCCATTTTACCTGAAAAGAAATTTTTCTGGAGTGATCTCAGAATGATTATTGTTATATAGGCCTACCTTGCAAATAACACATTATATCAACTGTATTCAAATGGAAGTATTATAGCAGGACCTTAAAGTTAACAAATGTAATAAAGAAAAGAAAAAAATTACATCTAAATATCTAAACAATCTAAACGTTTAACAAAAAGTGGCCTATTTTACCTGCATTGATAAATAGCGGCACTGGGACCTGGCTTACGCCATTTCTATCACTCCCAGACAGACTATAGCCTATTCCGAAATTGCTATACTCCTTCATTGACTAGCCTAGTCCAAATGGATGTGCCCGAAATCACCAATATACCCTTTTACGGTGCACTACTTGAGGGGACAGCCATTTGGTGTCTGAAATTAAACATCAAGAGCACTCATTCAATCATATAACAGATTCAGCCATATGCTTTGGAGACAATGTTCAAACGAATGGAGCTGAAAATATGAACCGCTCGTTTTAAAATCTTCCCGGTCTACTGGCATTTATGACATCTGCTTTAAATATGACAATGCCCATGAATGAAAACTTTCGTTAACAGTAACTCCACAATATGTAAATTCACTTCACCAGTTTGCCTACTCATCGACAGCATATGCCAGCTCCCGAAGTTCAAAACAGTAAAGATGCCTGCCTAAGGTCTACAGTTTCAACGTTAAGCTTAAACTACACCTGTTTACATTTCCAAAACATTTAGTGTAGCCTACAATAAATCGTCAGGAGCAGTTTTGCCTCATTGATTGCAG